CATTATCCATTCTATTTTCCTTTAATTTGGTAAAGAATTAATTACTGTTACAAAGAGGTTTAAAATATTGATCATAAGCAAAGCAAAAAAAAACAGGAAGGAAGTAATCTTGAAAGATCAGAAATGATGTTCCAACAGGACCACATATTTCTTGTGCTGGGGGTACCAGAGCTGGACGCAGTATTCTAGGTGAGGTCTCACCAGGGCAGAGCAGAGGGGCAGAATCACCTCTCTCAATCTGCTGGCCACGCTTCTTTTGATACAGCCCAGGATGGGGTTAGCCTTCTGGGCTGCAACTGTACACTGGTGGCTCGAGTCCAGCTTCTGATCCACTAGTACCCCCAGGTTTTTTTCCACAGGGCTTCTCTCAAGCGTGACCTTCCCCAGCCTGTATTCATACCTTGGGTTGCCTCAGCCCAAGGTGCAGGACCCTTCACTTGGCCTTGTTGAACCTCATGATGTTCACCTGGGCCCAGTTCTTTAGCTTGTCCAGGTCCCCAAGGGCTGGAGCACCTCTCTTATGAGGACAGGCTGAGGGAGTTTGGGTTGTTCAGTCTGAAGGGAAGGCTCCAGGGAGACCTCACAGTGGCCTTCCAGTACCTGAAGGGGGCCTACTGGAAAGCTGGGGAGGGACTTTTTACAGGGGCTTGCAGTGAGAGGACAAGGGGTAATGGTTTTAAGCTGAAAGAAGAAAGATTTAGATTAGCGATCAGGCAGAAATTCTTCATTGTAAGGGTGGTGAAACACTGGAACAGGCTGCCCAGAGATGTTGTGGGGGCTGCATCCCTGGAGGTGTTCAAAGGCAGGTTGGTTGGGGCTTTGAGCAGCCTATTCTAGTGGGAGGTATCCCTGCCCATGCAGGGGAGTTGGAACTCGATGATCTTTAAGGTCCCTTCAAACTCCAAACATTCTGTGATTCTGTGACACAGCAAACTAAAATCAACTTTCAATAAAGTCCATATAGGTGGGACTCCTCAGAGATTCTCTATGTAACAAAACTTCTACCAAGGCCCAACATAAATTCATATTTTTCTTCTCTACTTGCTTGTACTCTGAGGTGTCTTTATGGTGAGTGTCAAACCGAGCCAAGGGTTTCCACTGTGCCTCTGTCGTAAGGACTGTATAGACATTGCACTCAGGGACACACTCCTAACCCAAGCAGGAAACTGCAACAGACTGTGTGAGGCCTGGTAAAAAAAGGCAGACTAATCAGGGAACTGAACTGCAACCATGAAGTTCATTTGCTGCCTAGTAGGAGAGTCAGAATCAAACTACTCCTCTGCTTCCCCAAAAAAGTTTATCTGGAGTTGTGGACCTAAAGCTACCACTTTTGTTCCCTTCCCATTCACAGCTGTCAGGGATTCTTCCAGTACTGATCCAAACAGATCTTAGTTCAGGTCACCTTTCTGGGCTTGATTTCAGTGATGAAGTACGGTTTGGCAGTGGCAAAGTAGCAGACCTCTTAACAACCTTCTCTGAATCAATATTGTCCATCTCACTCTTGGAACGAGGAACTGAAGGCTGGGTTCTGCCTGTAGGGTAAATCAAATACAGGAATATTGGTGAATTGGATAGAAGGCAAACAAACACATGCTTACATGTCCTTTCTTGTTTGATAGATTATACATGAAACATTAATTACTTACTGCTCTCAGAATAGGAATAACGAGGAGAGTATGAATCAGAATCTTCATCTGAAAGACAAAAGCATTTTGCAAGTTAACTACAAAAGTCCCAAGGAAAAAGCAGCAAAGACCTTTTTCATTTCTTTTATTAATACATTGGCCATGATTTGAGTGATATGCCCAATACTTAAAACAGGGAGAGGATCCTAAAAAAGAAAATTCCAATGAGGTTTAAATTGCATTTAAAAATAATTCCCAGATTAGATATAAATATTCCTACACTAATACCTCTCTCCAGGCTCTCAAAGCATTTTAGAAAAACACAAGCTTTTTATCACAAAACTCCTCTACACCAAGGGTTTTTAGACACACTTCATACAAGCTGAAAAGATCTAAAAGCCATAGTATGTGTCTAAAATAACTCACTAGGTGCTAGACACAGTAACAGAGCTGAGGACTCCTGCTCCAAATCACATATAATTGCTGGGACATCTTCCTTGTATTAACTTACACAAGAGAAGTTGAAGTATGTTCACTGACCCAGATTATCTCTTAAACACAGATCATGTCTGTGGCATGAGACACACATGTATACCTGCACTAAAAGATTGTTCCTGTTCTGAAGAGCTTACTTTTGAAACAGGAAAGACATGCCTGTAGGATGCAATAGAGATATTCAAGCAGTTCTGAAAGAGCTAGCATTGACATCAGTGTAACTGAACGGTGTGGTCAGGTCTCCCAGCTGAACAACCTTCTCTCTCTGACAGTGAAAGTGTTAACACTGCATCAACAATGCAAGTTCATTCCCAGGACACAACTGCTGCCTTTGGTCACAGAAGCACGTGCTGCCTTATTCAAGGCTAACATGAATCTACACAGTGCAAGGCAGATATGCCCCAAAATAAGGTGGCATATCTAATGGCAGCATTACCACCCCCACTCCACCGGTGACAGCTAGAGAGACTTCGACTTGATCAGAAGCCTGGCAGTATCTTTCCACCACCTTCAATAGGGTTTGGAATTAATCCCTTAGTGAACTGCAGGTAGTAGCAGGGTGAGCTGGGATCAGAACTGGATCCACAGGCCCATGACCATTCTCTGCTGCTGAGGATTCAGACTGGCTGGAGAGTATATATGGGACATCTACCAGACTTCCAAGGCAAAATGTAGGAAAACACAACACAATGGCTGCAAAGAGAACTGTGAGCAAACGTTGTACTAAAACCTCTGTGAAGAAACTACTAAAAGTGAACGAGATAAAAAGACAGAAAAATAAAATAAATGTAGCTAGAATAAGCTAGATAAGTAGAGACCATATAAAAAAAGTGTTATGTGAATTCAGTGATGCAGATTAACAGAATGAAACAATTTCCAGCTCTTCTCTCAAGGAGGTCATAAATCAGCTGCTACAGCCAATCACTTCTGGAAAAACCAATCTGGCTAAGACAGCTGACCTGAAATTGCTCTCAAGCCTTAATCAAGCCTTCCAGAAAGGCTCAAAGAAGTCTTAACATTTAGTCTCTCTGCTGAGCTTTCTTGGTGAACAAATTAGAAGGTTTATGTTCCAAACAGATGGCTACTGACTCTGATGTGCTTATCATAACCTTTACATTTAAAAAATAGCAAAGGTCAATTTGCAGGCCAATTCCTGTATTTCAAACTTAACTGATGGAGAACAAATACTTACTTCTTTAATGTTATTATATTGAATTGTCGACAAAATTGACTGGCATTCCTATATAAAAATGGGCTTATTCAGGTAGAAAAATACTTGAAAGATCACAACACTCTCTGTCCCTACAAACACAGATAAACAAATGTCTAAAACTATCTTCACAGCCACTCACCTCTCAGTACTAATTAGTGCTGGTGAACAATGAAAAAATTAATATACTTACTTGAAATGTCAATATTCATTATAGCTCATCATTCAAACAGGAAAACCATATAGGAAAAAATATTCACAGCAAGTAAGTGCTATTTTCCAATTGCTAAGATTCTAATGTCTACAATAACAACAAGAACAAGTAAGTTTTGTCTCTTCAAGTATCTTATGAAGAAGAGTGTCTACATTTCTTCCCTTTTTACTGGAGGGAATACTAAAACACAGAAATCTGGAATGACTTGATAAAGACTGAAGAGTAAGTCCCAGATGAACATAAAACCAAGATTTACTGGTCCTTGGAGCTGCATTTTATCTGTGGGACACTCCTCAATGGAGTAAAAAATTACCAATTGGTAGTTTCAAAATGTGATTCCTTTAGGGAGAAAAGGCTATTCCCCTGTAATTCCTAGAGAATCTACAGTTAACTTTTGCAGGAGATATTACTATCCAAGTAGATATTTTTGACACATTTCCCACTGCATTGAGCAAATTATTTTCATATGCACTTACAAAAGTGCATAGGGGACATTTATGGGAAACCAGACTTAATATATTATCATAATTGGTTTTGCAAGCTACATTAGTTCAGACAACAGCAACATAGATTTTCAAACTTAATTACAAACAAGAAAATTGAATCTCTGTGAAACTCCTTTATCAACTAGTTATTGAGACTCTGTTTCTGTCTCACCCATACCTACATACCATTCTGTCAATAGAAAATTATTAACACTGCATAATGATTTGTAAAACAGGACTCTTCACCTACAGGTTTCACCAAGAAATGAGCGAGTATCATAGATATTTGTATGACACTAGTCCACATTAATCTTAACAGTGAAATGCACCTTATATCTCCTAGTCATCTCTGAACACCTCAGCTAAAACCCATAATGTATGCTTCCTTCTTACACAGTACCCACCAGCTGTTTAACATAAACATTAAATGAAATGGTTAATTATTAGTCTCACCAGGGTTGGCTTGAGGCACAGGCTAAGTAGGCAAGTTCCTAAACCATGGGATCTAAAGTGATACCAAAGCACCAAGCCAACAAGGCTGTCACCAGCAACAGTTTCCCAATCAGGAAATGTCTGTATGCCCAATGTGTACAGCAGATTCCAGTGTTTCTCATACCCAAGTGGTTTCATGCATTTGCACACAGTTACAGGATTACCACTGCAATAGATAATATTTTACCATCCCTGAAATGTGACTGCAAAGACTTCTGGTTTGTACATGAAATTTAAAGGAATCTGCTGAGCACATGAGGTGGATAAAGTTATTTGAAGATGCAAGATGTGCTGATTAGACTGTCAAACTCTCTCCTTGCCTAGATATGCCAAGCGCACCTAAGGCCAGCCCTGAACCTATGTTACCAAGTTATTTTTATTTTAAAAGACTACATTGAGGGACTGATCCAAAACTCACTGAAGCAACTGGCCTTTTTACCAATACACTTCAGTGGTATTTTGGGTCTGGCCCTAATACTGTGTTAATAATATTCAAAACCAAAAGGAAATTATTAAAAAAATGTATTGATCCAAAAAGGAGGTGGGAGAAATCTCAGTTAAACCACATCTTTACATGTAAGTCTGCATTATAGGCATGTTAAATAATCACTGCACACACATGGCTAAATACAACTGGTAAGCGCATAAAACCAAGCAATCCCCAAGTCTGTAGCATTAGTCAAATACTAGTTACAAAGCCAGAGGAGCACTGCAAAGGCAAAAAGGTATCATACAGTCAAGGCAATGCTTAGAGTGCAGCAAATCATTATGAGGCAACATAATGCTCAGCAACTAGAAAAAACTCCAGGAAGAAAATAAAGAGCTAAGGCAGCATTTGTGCAGAAAAGTATATATGGTCCTTTATTATTACCTTCAGAGATAGGACTAGGAGTGGACGCAGGAAACTGGTATGTAGGAGAATAAGGATTGTCTTCTGCAGCAGAAAAAAGCAGTGGATTTTGAGACTATCCACAGTGAAGTGGAGATTCTCCTTCAACCCCCAATTTCCTATCACAGCATGAGTTTATTGCCTACTTTAAGAATACTACAGTAAATGGCATAATATTTTAATAAATAAATAAAAGGATTAGTAAAATGTAGTTATTTTATGTATCACACAAGAAGGTATACTGGGCATAACTGAATTTCCAGCCAGTGTAACACATGGGTGATGGAAATCTAGAACCTGAATCTAATTAATCTAATTACTATTAGGGAGCTATAGTAACAGTTAAAGCACAAGACAACAGATATTCTGACTAAACTTCTGGTACCTTCAGTTTTTTGCTGGATTTCAGGAAGTTCAGGAAATATGTAGGTAGGGCAATAAGGGTTTTCTTCAGGAGTGTCTAAGGAGAGGAATATGATTTGCAAAAAAAGAAGAGACAGGACAGATTTAAAGAGCAAGAAGGGTGAGACGAGAATCTATATAAGCTGCAGAACAGTCCCTCTCATGTTGATATTCTAGCACAACAAAATCAAGATGCCTCTTTGCTCATTGCTGCTTTGTATATCTGGGACCTGTGAGAGATCCTGGAAGCTGAGGGGACAGAACTCATTCTCCTCCTCCTGAAGCATGGGCTCTGGCTGAGCTGAAGAACCTCTGTTAGGAGTGCTGGTATTAGGAAACAATTCAACTCTTTCTCATTCCATCCAAAATAACACAGCATCTATATAGGCATAAAGCTCAAGACAGCATCTGCAGCAGCAAATACAGCTCCAGTTTTGCATGCTCTGTGTCTGATTATGTAAGTGCAGTTCTGAATTGCATTTGTTTGCATGTTGGGCTGTCCATAGGGTTCAGTTTGCAAATGCTACCATAGCCACTTCTCACACAGAAGAACAAATGTGAACATAGCAGCAGCCAGGCACAGAAGTGCCCCAAAGTAAGGGATTCCCTAAGAAAGCACCACAATTGATGGTTATAAGTGTTCACCATAACTTCAGGTTTAGAAAAGAGAAAAAATGAGGTTATGAAAAAGCAGAGTTCAGATTCTGAACTCACCAAAAACCAATGGAAACCTTTTCACCAAACTTTACTATGCAGGTACTAAAGCTTCACAGTGTACAATGTTTTCTCTTTTGCACAGAGCTGTTTCAGTGGGAATTGATCCTTTAAAAGTATATAGGGGTGGGGTTAGCAGCTAAAACTGGAGTTCAAGGATTTATTTTCTCTAAATATGAAATTATTATCAGCTTCCTGATTTCAAATAGATTTGATTCTGCACTGCACTTCACCACTCAGAACAACTCAGACCCTTCTTTTGACTTCACTGTCCTCTCACCTTTGACTTCAGAGATTTCAAATACATGGGTTGAGTTCTGTGGTGCAGAGCAAACACTGGTTAGCATTAAAAACTTTTATTTCACATCCACTACAGTTTTTCACATTAACAAAACAAAATGTCAAGGGAGTTGTTAAAAGTAAAAAAAAAACATTCGTGTTACAGTACCTCTATTTAGCTTGTGGATCTGTTTGAACATTGTCTTGTACCAATCCTTCGATCTGTCTGTATTCTATCGAAAAAGCAAATATACACAAAATCATAACCATTAATTCCTTAAATGTTTCAAAGTTCTTATGAATCTTCCAGCAATGAAAAAGATTTACACTATGCTTCCTACCTAAAAATCAAGGCTATATGAGGTTAATCCTTTGAAATAAGAAATGATTTAATTTTTTTTCCCCAGAGGCAGCTGAAACAGGTAATTTATAGCAAAGGGATACGTTCATAATAAAATACATTGGAACTAGAATTTTATCTTCCCTCAAATCTCCGCAGATTGTGGAGCTTCAGTGTCTCTGAATCTCACGGTAGAATTTGGCCTAAGTTTTGTGTTGCCTTACCCTCAAAGGAATGCCAATATCATCAACAGAGGTATCAGCCATGTGCTGAGGGCTCTTGACAATGCTTCTCCTCTCCTCCATTGTCCTCTTCTCACTTGGCACTGTCTCCTGAACTGGCTTGTCTTGTATGAGTGCTGAATCAACTTTGTCAGAAACTAGTTTGTCTGGCACTGAATCTGAAAATGAAAGTGGGGAATTTTTATCTTATCCCAGCATCTCTCCACATCACAATATTCCACTCTTTTAAAGCAAAAGTCCTAGCAAGTAGTTGATGAGACAGACTGTGTCACTGGTAGCTGTGGTTAGCATCTGGACTGAAGGAAATCTACGATGAAAATGTTTTATGCCAGCAAAAGCAGGCTAGCTAGGATGGCTCCTAGGTAGCCATCTTCAGATATCTCACGACAGTCTCAGATGTCATGTATGTAAGAAAACGTAACATTTTGTTTACAATGACTGTTTGGGGGTTTGGGTTTTGTGCCTTTTTGACTAATTAGAAACTGCAATGTTCTATTTCATCAAAAAGCACCAATGATACAGTCTCCTAGACATCTTTTCCTGCTGGTGTTTTCAACCTAATGGAGCATGCTACAAAGTAGTGAGGCACTACTTTTTAACAGCTTGCACTCACCTGCCTGACAATCCCATTTGTTAGCATATGATGCTTCCAAGTTCATCATTGTGCCCTAACCCAAGTTTATAAAGAAAAATTCCACTGCTGCTTAGCATACGCATGATTCCTCTTGCATGGGAGTCTGCATAAAGATGGGGGAAACAACTAATTGCCCCATATCACATTGCTTCCAGCTGGAATTCCTTGACACTGCCCAACTGACACTCATACATAGTGGCAGGCAACACCAACACTGGCCAAGGAACCAGGGGAGCTTAGGTTGCCCTGAAGCACTACTGTGCTCTGAAGTGCTGCAGCACAGCAACTCTTAGGCTCTGTTGAGGACTTTTTCTATGGATTTTTTGGAGAGGAAATACCTGTGACTTTTCAGTCTGCCTCATCAAGACTTTGCCACGTCCTATCCTTTTTACATCACTGCATGCATTAAAGAGAGAAAGAGAAAAAGATAGATACGTTTATTCACATGCACATCACCATACTGCCCAAAGCCATTAAATGTGCAGAAATTTGAAAGGGGCAGTTACCAGAGGAAAGACTCGTGCATAACAAAGCATTGGTCTTTTGGTACCTTCAGCAAACACAATTTTGCCCTGGAAAACTCTGTGTGTGAAGGAATCATGTTCCAAGTGGTTGGTTTGAAATTAGCATCAAACTTTAATTATTCCTCCTCTTTATGAAAAATGAAATAATGTTTATAAATTTAAAAAATGGGGCAAAGTATCCAGCAAATCCTTCTTTAGAATTTTCATCCTATTTCACCTCTCTGTGAATGTGTATGCCCTGTCTTTTGGTTCTTTTGTGCTCCTGGTCTACAGAGCACTCCATTTTGTAGGAAGTATTTGGTCCATTTCTATTATTAAACTCCATATTAAACCTCTAAGAAGAGAGCATGGAAAGAGCAACTGAAACTAGACCATTCTTCTCTCTTCTCTCCCACCTCTCAATTTACCCTGTCACGGCTGTAACTAAAGAATAATGATGTAGGTAAGCAGTACATAAGGCACTGCTCCTATAGCGTCTACTACAGACTGAGCTACTTCTATTTCAGATGTGGGGAGTAAGAGATGACCAGGAAAGTAACTTGCTTTTCTTTTAAGGTGAGACTCTTGTACCTGTTGTACGAGTAGAGTTGCCCAGGGAGAGAAGGGTGGCAGCACATGTGCGTACCTGCACACTACAATATAAACATCTACATCTTGACATGAGGCACAAATACTTCTGCTCTTGGAGTCATATAAATACTGATTTCTCTTCCTCCCCCTCTCACCACAAGTAAGACTAACTCTAATGGCTGTGTAAAGAAACTTAAAAATACGTCCCCAGGGAATAAACCTGAAAGGCCCAAAAGTCAACCAGAAAAACTGAACTGCATGTAAATCTTATGACTTAGGAGGAACAGAATTTAGAGTTTCAGTATATTAACATGTGGCAACACAGGTAGCACAGGGAGAAAAGTAACCTGGACTAAGCCAGAAAAAATATTTATATTAATTCCTTCACACTTCCTGGGAAGCATGTTTGCTAAAGGTACTCCACAAGCTAACAAAGCGGCAGCTTTGCTCCAGCAGAGGCAGCAGTTGAGGGGTAGCAGACCTTTCACATCATACCTGCCAGGCTACTAAGCCTTTTTTGCTGTTCTGTGGTAAAGGAAGAAACAAAACAAAAAGAAATACAGAACAAATGGGTGAGACACAAACAGCAAGTGCTCCAGTGCTGCGTTTCTGACAGACAAGAAATATACTGCAGACAGAACGGCAGCAGCTGTTGGAGAGAATCTGTTTTCAAATGCCCTGCTAAAGTGACAGCCCATAATCTCTTCTTCACACAGAAGCTTTGTGGAGTAATACAAATCTCATGATGCAGTGACCAATATGTTTGCAGAGAGCTTTTAAAAAAATATTCTTTCTTAACATCAGAATGAAAAAAGTTGGACCAGAAACAATTAAAGAAACAGCAAAAGACCCACAGAGTCAAACAACTCTGTTACTCGTAGCATGAAGTACATTTGAGACAATACTGCTGTATCATTTTGAAGGGATACAGGAAAGGATCAAGTAATTGTTGGTGCAAGTTGAGTCTCATCCCATACTACTAAGCCACAGATTTCAGTGATTTGCACAGAGCCACAGCTTAGTTAAGGCAGTGATTCTCAGAATGGTCTCCTTGGTTTAGGACCTTTCATTTTCTGAGTTCCCAGACTGGGACATTTGTGGTATCCTTCTCCATGTCTGACCACCCTAAAGTTGATGGTCACAGCTGCTTTCTAAAGGGATGACTTGCCCAAGTCACAGCTGGGAATAAAACAAGAGTTCTTAGCTCTTTCTTCTCTGTTCTTTCTACTCCCTAGCAATTAATCCTTTCATTTGAAGCATGAAAGCCATTGAACTATTTTACTGACATACAAAATACAAACAGTCTTGAAAGCTCATACTGTTAATGCAAAGATTTCAAAACTTTAATACATCAATCACATCTGTTACATATTCATAAAAAAACCAAAACAAAACAACACACCATGCAATGCCTGCCCAGGAAATAACTGTGTTTTGAGGTTGCATGGGACACTTGCCAAGCAAGTCTGCAGTAGGTAACAATCCCCCAGTTAAACACTGTTTGCTAGGAGAACACACCTTCACTAGATGTTTGTACTAAGTGGATCATCTTCAGCAAGGGAGGCTGGTATTTCTCCTCACTAAGTGCTGCTCCCTCACCAGTATCTTTGAACTTTGTTCTTTTACCTCAGCAATTCTGCTCTGCTAACCACTGATGGCAAGCTGCTGACACGTGTTTACTTTTTATGTGAAGAGAAGGTTTCCTTTTCACTTGTGTCTCTGGCAAGGAAAGAAAGCTGCTGAAATATGGAAATGGAAGGAGCAGGAGGTGTCTGTTATTTCACACTCCTGCCTGACCAGAGAGAGCTTGAAGTCTCAGGCACACAACAGCTAACTGAGACGTTCATCCTTGATCTGTTGTTCTGGAACTGCAAGCAAAGGCCAAAACCTCACAGATTCTCAGAGGAATATTACTGCTCAAGCAGAGGAATATTACTGCTGGCAACAGTGCAGGAATG